CTGCTTGAGCAGGGCCATGAGGATATCGGTCGCGAGGGTACGTTCGTGGGCTTCATCGAGAATGATGCAGCTGTAGCGGGACATGTCGTGGTCGTGCATGGACTCGCGCAGGAGCTGACCATCCGTCATGTACTTGAGCATGGTCTTGGGGCCGGTCCGGTTCTCGAAACGAATGCTGTAACCGACTTCCTGGCCCAGTTCGACATCCAACTCGTTCGCGACACGCTGGGCAACCGACATGGCCGCCACTCTTCGGGGCTGGGTACAGGCGATGAGCTTGCCGTTCGTGTGGGGGAGCTCGTCGTAGAGGACGTATTGGGGGATCTGGGTGGTCTTTCCGGAACCCGTCTCACCGACGAAGACGAGGATCTGGGTGTTGTGGTACATGTCGAGGAACTCCTGGCGCTGCTTGTGGACGGGGAGGTCGCGCCTCACTTTGAGGATGTCGAAGTATCTCTGCGAGTGCGGCTGGCCGGTCCACGGGTTGAGCTCCGAGTCCTCGGCCTGGGCAGCCTGGACGGCGGTGGTCTTGTGCCTCTCGAAGGCGTCGAGGGGCGATTCGAAGTCGCCATTGGTGCCGTTGCCGTTGCCGTCCTCGTTGAGATGGGCGAGGTAGGGGTTGTACTTTTCGGGGGCAGCATCGCCATTCTCGGCACGCTTGATGCGCTTCGAGTCCTGGTCGTTGTCGTCCATGTTGGATCTCTTGACGCCTTTGTCGTCGTGGCTGGCCATTGTAGTACCGACCGAGGGCAGCTGGCCTTTTTTTAATATCTTGTTTTTCGAGCGAGAGGGGTGGGTACTAGTAAACAAAACAAGAAGACCGAACTGAAGGGGAGGAAGAGAAGCGGCGATAGGCAAAACAGAAGGCGGAGTGTCGATTATGGCACCTCCAGTGGCAGTGATGAACAGCGAAACAGAGTGGAGGAGAGGGCAGTGGGCAGGCATGCGAGGCTACAACTTTTTTTTTGTTTGATGTCAGGGCGATCAGACCTGGCCGGCAGTTCCTGGCCGCAGCAACTCTCGACCAATGAGGGGCCACAGTGATAAGCTTTAATGGAGTAAGGAGTGTCTTTGGCAAGCGCTGATAAGCAAATCACTGTAGCATTGGACAGGACCCTGATGGGCACTAAGACGGTAATTTTTTGCACTGTTCTGTGACTGTCAGGTTCACTCAGTTTGTTCCTGCTGCATGCAAAGAAAAAAAAAAGGCAAAATGCAAGCAGGTTGATGAAGATTGTGACATTGTGACATTGTGAGTTTTGGGCGTATTAGGTTTGTAAAGAACCGTTCCTTTCACTCAGTTACCTACCTATCTCGTTCCTCCATGTACCTACTATCCATACCCCTCCATACACTACTTGTTTACTTTGAGTTGGGGAGCGTCGAGGTTTTGACTTTTTCCTCTGGCGCTTCTTCCCTGGAAATATCCACTGCCATGGGGTCAGTCCGTTGTGGGAAAAATAAAAAAAAAGCTCCATCCAACTTTGATTTCAGTCTTTTCAATTTTCCCTGTGATTGGGTCCGATACCTCATCAAGGTACAGCCTATACATTCTTCTACTGTATACAAGCCCCAGAGACTAGTATAGCTACCTTCTCTGTACCCCTCCCGCTGCTGTTTGTACCACCTCAAACCTAACCTGGACCATCGCGGGGTTGTTTACTTCTAGTCTCGTCCACTCTCTTTCACTCACTCGGATTCACAAAAAAGTCCAGTCACTCACTCATCATGTCTTCAAATCGCGGGTTCAACCCCGAGTCCGAGTCTTTCGAGCAACGGCCGCCCTTTTACATTGGCCAGCATGATGTCCAACGACATGAGTCGCCCTCTGACAATCAGTACGGCCAGATCTTGGACAGTGGTGTAAGTCTTTCCTCACATTAAAGTAGGAAGAGAAAGAAGAACGAGCAACAGCAATAATACTAACACACATGAGATGAGATAGTTCAACTTTGTCACCACCCCCATCACCAACGAGCACTTTCACCAGCGCGTGATCGACTTGTACAAGAGCCATCTCCAAGAACGGGAACAGTGGGTCACCGAACGGGGACTCACTGACGCCCAAAAGGCCAACCCTTCGCTGCCACTTCCTACGGTCCCTACCTTGACTGACGACGATACATCCCTGTTTCCCAGCAGCTATGTTGGCTCGCTCATCGCCTACGCCAGCCCATGGATCGACCTCTGCTCTGCCGATCCCATCATCTCAGACATCTCCCGTCAGGTGCTGAACCTCGAGCTCGCCTACGCCAACTTCTGCGGCTCCAGGACCATCATTATCCCCGGCCCAAGACAGGACGATGGCCGTGCCGTCGCTCAGTATGCACGTGCCATTCAGGAGGCTCAAGAGGTTGGAGGCCGTGTGAATCTGGTCATTCACTTGCCCATGTACCGCGAGCCTAGTTTGGAGGAGGAGGCAGAGACTCTTTCTTCTCTCCTTACTGGTGACGGTAGTAGCAGCTCCAACTCCAAGGAGGCCGTCAAGACCGATGCTGCCAAGGGCACCGAGATCGATCTCTTCAGCACCTGGGACAGTTGGCACACCATCCGGACCGTCTGCAAGTACAGCGGTCGTCTATTTGTTGCCCTGCGCATTCCGAAGCGGGTACCTGAAAAGGACCTGCAGGAGCGCTGGTTCTCCGAGCCGCTGCACTACCTGACCCTCGATAAGAAGATCTTCTCGCTGAACAAGGCCGGCCATCCTTCCCTTACCCGCCATCATCAGGACTTGATCAACCGTTATATGCGCCTCAAGAACCACCCGTGGCTAATCCTGATTAATGTCGGTCCGTCGGCGGAAAGTCTCGTCGAGGCCCCCAGCAAGATGGAGGTTGACTTCCCTCCTTTGTCCGAGGCTAGCAAGGCAGTCAAGGAGAACCGCAAGCCATATGCTCCTCCCTACAACGAGTACGTTGACTACATGAAGTATCTCGAGAGACACCAGCCCCCTTACTCGGCCATGGAGACTGCTTCGCTCGTCAGCTTCCAGGACTGGCTCCAGTCCCCTCTCCAGCCGCTCTCGGACAATCTCGAGTCGGCCACGTATGAGGTCTTTGAGGGCGATCCGGTCAAGTACGATCAGTACGAAAAGGCCGTGGCCGAGGCCATGCTCGAGTGGAAGAAGTACAACCGGCCCGTCTCCTCCGTAACCCCCGAGACGCCCGACGGCAAGGACCTAATTGTGGCCGTCGCCGGTGCCGGCCGCGGTCCCTTGGTCGCCCGCGTTCTCCGGGCCGCCGCATCCACCAACACTCCTATCCAGCTCTGGGCTTTGGAGAAGAACCAGAACGCCTACGTCTACCTCCTCCGCCGCAACAAGCGCGAGTGGAACAACTCGGTAACGGTGATCAAGACTGACATGCGTGAATGGGAGGGTCCTCGCCTCGCGGCCAACCCCAACATTATCACCAAGCTTGACATCCTCGTGACCGAGCTCCTCGGTTCCTTCGGCGACAACGAGCTTTCCCCGGAATGCCTCGACGGCATCCAGCGGCACATTGCCCGCCCGCACGGCATCTCCATCCCCTACTCGTATACCGCCCATCTCTCCCCCATCGCGCACCCGCGCATCTTTGCCGATCTGTCCAACCGCGTCGTCAGCGACCCCAACGCCTTCGACATCCCCTGGGTGACACGCCTGTTTCAGCTCGCCTACGTTGCCCAAAAGGTGCCCAAGCACGGTCGGTTCCAGCAGGCCTGGGAGTTCGTGCACCCCGTCGAGGTGTCGCGGGCCGACGACTTTTCTGCCCAAAACGGGCGCGCGCGCAAGTATGTTACTCACGGCAGCGGCAGCATGTACGGCTCCAGCGGCATCAACGAGCATAATGCTCGGCACTGCCATTTGACGTTTGTCTGTCCCACGAGAGGTGTGATTCATGGTCTGGCGGGCTACTTTGAGAGCGTGCTGTATAAGCATCAGGAGGAGGGCAAGACGCCAGTGGAAATTAGTATCTTGCCAGATCAGATTGATCGGAAGAGCAAGGACATGATTTCTTGGTTCCCGATTTTCTTCCCTCTTAGGGTGAGTTTTCTTTCTTGTGCTTGACTCATCGCTCTTCACTCCTGCTTCGGTGACAATTACTGACCCGGTTCGACGATATACAGCAACCCCTCTACTTCCCTCAGGACACCGAGCTAGAAGTCAGCATGTGGCGCCAGACCGACGACACCAGGGTTTGGTACGAGTGGATGGTTGAAGTGTATGCTTGGGTGGGTCCCAAGACCCGTATCAAGGTTGGCGCTTCTGAGATGCATAGCAGTCGTAAGGTTGCCTGTATCTTTGGTTAGAAGAGAGGAAACGTAAAAACAGAGGTAACTAAGTACCAGTAGGTGGTGGGCAAGGCTGGCTAGGTCGGGTGTTAGGAGTGTGTATGCAGCTGGACTAAACGCTGCGAGGAAAAGGTCAAAAGTCTTGTTTTAGCGAAAGATAAAAAGTTTCGAATTCAAATATTGGACGTAATGTTCATGATTGGGAGGCCGCGCGATGCGTATGATGATGGTGACTGTCTTTGCCTGTGTTCGTGTGATTGTGATCAAGTGGAAGTTGAGACTAACAGAATTTCACGCCGCTCGTTCTCTTTTTTTAGTTGAAATAATACCTGTAAACCAGACGACATTTCCGCATGTCTAACTCATCCCGCCACTTCCTTTTTCTTTGCTCAGTAGATGATGTGTGGTCTTGACAGATTTTTGTTTCTTCCTTTCCTGTTAAGCTGAGTTGTTCCAACATCTTATTTTAGCCTTCGTCTTCAAGTAAAGGCCAGATGGCACATGCTCCTTTGACGGTCTTGCGCAGGAGATGCAACGAAGGTCTCTACCAGACAGAGAGACGCTCGGTACCCATCCATCCACCGTTCACTCTCTCTTGAAGTAAATCCGCCCTTCCGTACCACTCTCCACACCATGCGCGCCCGATATGATCAGAGCTATTGTCCCACCTTTCGTGAAGCGCACTTTTATCATTGGGAAACGAGTTTTCGGCGAGCGGGTGGTTGTGGTTTGTGCTTCGGTTCGGCTCGGTTTGGTCGCCGGTAAAGTAGATCCATCTCTTCTTCTTTTTTCCTCCCAGGGTATTATAATCGGAACATCACGACCCTCCTCACACATTCCTCCTGTCTGTTCTGCAATTCGCGCCCTTCACCCTGCCCGCTAGGCTCTACTACCCTTTCATTTTCTCCTGGTGGCGAGAGAACTTCACTCTTCCATCTTGACGTCGCCACTTGTTTCCGCCTCGTCGGCCTTCTTGATGTAGAGAACGTTGTTACACCTGTTATTTAAGCCCATGATATTAGCATCCCAGCCAGTTTACACGTAATCTGTGTGAAAGCAGTAGCAGTGGGATATATCCAGCATGGACGTACCTGATCAGAACCTGCCCCAAGGCGCCCGTAAACTTGCGGTTGATGTACTCCTTTGTGTCGCTGAGCTGGATGTTCATGTAGCTGTCGATGCTCTGTTGTTCACATGCAAACGCATTTTGTCAGCGTCTCTCTTTCTTTATCCTTCGTTCCTCCTTGGCCCTGCCTGTTGGTTTCCCCCTCCCCATCCCCTCTTCATCGCTTTCCATAACTGTGTATTCCAAAATCAAAGTACAGTGGCAAAGGGAAGGCTAGATGGGAAAAAAGACATTGGATTTAATTGTACGTACAACAAGACGGCCAACATACTCCGTCTCTCCCCACTTCAAGCGAATCGTCACAAAGCTGTTGACGAGATCTTGGAGGAAGGGACGGGGGTTGACTGGGACAAAAGACATGTTGTCGGTTTCGGTTCGAAGGGTTGGTTCTTAGTCAAGTGCGTGGCGCCTTGTGTGTATTCACAGGCTTGTTGTTCTTGTTGTTGTCGATGGGACGGCTCGAAAGTTGGATTCGCGATTCGGCTTAGGTGCTAATGGAATTTTGTATTCGTCGGTTTTCTTGGGTTGGTCGGGTGGACGCGACAAGGTCGAGATTACGGTTATGAAAAGTTGGGAAGAGAAATGGGATTGGCGTTGATGCTATGATGGAAGCTGCTCCAACTGGGACTGTGCCTCCAATGATGGACCTTTGCGGCGTTGGAGTAGCGCGACGATGGAAGTTCCTCTGTTACGAGGGACGTGTGGAGCCCTGACGCGATAAACTGATTGGACGGGACACTAAGCCTGCCCGGGTTGGGTGTATACAGGGTTAGGGTTGGTGGCTGTTGGTTAGAGGATACTCGATGTTGTTGACGACGACGATGATGAGCATCACCAAGACCTTTGTGGCGATCGTTCTACTTGTCTTCACTTAGATTCATAGCCAGGTGTATTATTCTTATCGGTCACTCGAGTCTCCTTGGTAATATCTCTCCCTGATGATTTTCCGATGCCCACCTACACCTTCAGGTCAAGACCCTCGAAGACGCCGATGTTTTGAAACGAAATGGAAGGGGACTGTTCAGGACCTGACAGGAAGTCATTTTGAATTGATATAGTCCCATACTGGGTGAAGATATTTTACTCAATCTCCTCAATCCTAGGTCTACCGCCAAACATCTCAACACCGCCACTACTTCCACCACTCTCACCACCGCCATGGGAAACCGACCTCTCCGGATCAACTACCAACCCAGCCAGCTTCGTTAACCCACCACCACCAAACCCTCCCCCTCTCGCCTGACTCAACGACACTTCATCCACTAAACTATTCGTCTTCCAATTCTCCAAGCTCTCCAGCACGTCCCGACAATACTCCCTGACCAAACCATCCTCATCCGTCTGCTCCACATACCCCAAAATCGTCCTCAGCTGCTCCTGCGTCTCACTCCCAAACGCAATCCCCAACACCCTCCCCTCTTGCTTCGCCTCGTCCATGGCCTTGATAAAGCTCATAATCAGCCTCACCGCCGCCCTCCTGAGTATCCCCTTCTCCAGCTGCCGTTCGACCTGCACAACATTAATGCACAGATCCACGCTGGCCATCGTCAACACCGCCCCGACACCAGTAATATTCGTCTCGATGCAATTCGCCAGAATCGACAACGCAGAGGCACGAATCCTTACATCCTCTTCGCCCGTTTTGGAAGTACCAGACGACCACCCTTCCACAATCGCCTCCAAGATATCCAGCCTAGCCTGCTCCTCAGCAGAAATCGGATCCGCCATATCCGGCACGCTGCCGTCCCACGCGTCTTCGGCTTCTTTATGCTTCTGCTCCCGCGCCTTGGCCTCGCGCGCTTGGCGCGCCATGGTCTTGGGCCGATGCCCCCGGCGCGACGCCAGGCTGATCAGGGCTTCGCAAGTCATCTTTGCCAAGTCGCCGGTGAAAGTCTGGCCCAGTCGGTCGACGACTTGGAGTAGGGCCTCGCCGAAGCGGAGGCGGGCGTCGACGGTCGCCAGGGCGGATTCGCGCGGGTCGAGGTAGCGGTCGATCAGGTCGGTGAGGACGGCGCGCGAGTGAACGTTGGCTAGTTGGGTGTAGAGCTTGATGCAGCGGAGGTGGATGTAATCTTCTTCCGAAGAGTTGGGCTCGCAGAGAAGGGTGGCGAGCAGGACGAGGATGCCGGGGATGTCGAGAATGGGGGAGTGGGAGGTGATGAGGTTCGAGATGAGGTTGAGACCTTCGGAGCGGACGGGCGGGGGGGAATCGGGTTGGGTAATGTAGGAAATGGCGAGGGAGTAGGTCTTGCGGTCTTCAATTTGGCGGTCCGTGGGACCACCGGTTGTTGTGGTGGATGAGGATGAGTCGGCGGCTTCCAGGGCGTCGATTTCGTTGCGGTAGCGCAGGAGGAGGGTGAGGTTGGAAGCTGTTTTGGCGTTGTCGTTGTCGCCTGTTTTGGAGAGGGCTTCAAGGGAGGATTCAATGACACGAAGGACATCAGGGTCGACACGCTTCTTTTGGAAGCCGGGGACGGTGATGACCATGTTGAGGAGACTGAGGGCTACTCTGATCACTTCGTCCTCTCCGGCCTCTTCCGCGGTATCTTTGTTGGCTTCCGAGAGCACCTGGCTGACTAGCTCGAGGATGTGTTTGGGTTGCCCGGCGAGTTTCTCGGGGAACTTTTCCATCATGGCCAGGAGAAGCTTAACCTCGGTGAACTGGGCTATCGGGTCTTTCTCCTCCTCTTCCTCTTTGATAATCTGAATCCCGCTTTTTTTCTGGCCTCGGGCTGACTTGAGCCACCGCCCGAAGAGATCGAGGAATGCTGAGGAGACATCGGCCTCAGAAAACGTTGAATCAATCAACTCCAGCAGTTTGGGTATCTTTTGGTCGATTTCTGGAAGTGAAAGGCCGATGTATTGGTCCCCTGTCTTTTGCAGAGGACGATTGGTATCGACAATTTGAATCTCTCCTTGTTCGGTTTGCTTGTACACCCACTCGGGTTTCTTCTTGTCAAAGCCACCCACGTAACCCAGATTGTGGACGAGCGCTAAAAGAACAGGAGCAGAAGGTGAAAGCTTGAGGAAGATCTTGAGTAATTCTGAAGAGGGTTCCGTAATCTTTTCGCTCAACGGCTTCTCCGAGTTTGGCCAAGTAGTAAGTGCCCAAAGTGGCAGCAGTAAAGGGGAGAGAAGTCGCTTGCACAAGCCAGGATTCGGGTGTGAAACGACCAGTGCGTGTAGTCGTTGTAGTGCAGTTACTAGGTCCTTCTGCTTAACCAGGACCTTGTCCTTGCTTAGGTCAATCACCTCGTCATCATCACCTGTCTCTGTCTTGGGTAATCCTCCCGGGGGTGGCTTGATGTGATGTAACAGGGGCTCTGCAAGGTATTTCCAGCCGGCGGTGCCTTGATCAGAGTTAGCATTCTGTCGCAGAAATATTTCGTTTTGCAACAAGGGGGTATACCTGGAGCACCAGAGACCTTGCGGCCCAGAATGCCGAATCCAATAACATAGGCAACAACCTTTTTGAGCTCAGGCCCCTCTCCTCCATCCAGCAGCGCAAACAACTGCGGTGCGATACCCGAGTACCACTCTTCCGGAGTTACGGTAGAAGGTGGTGACGATAACAAGTTACTGGCCAACACGAGGGCCTCATGAGTGATGTTGGCGCCTCTCTTCTGCGGTACAGCGGCCTCGGACAGCTTGACGGTGCTGGCAGGATGTACAGCAAAGGCAAATTCCAGACTCGCCCTCACGCCATCCTCACGGAGAGGTATCAGCGTCAGGTATTCCCTGAGCTTGAGGCGCAACCAGTCGGGGGTGTTGCCGGGCCTGATGAGGATGTTCAGAGAGGCCAGCAATGACAGTGTCTTGGTCCTGTAGTCACAGGTCAGACTGAGGCGGACACCTTGGGGCTAAAAGGTGAGGAGGCTTGCCTTTCAATGAGAGCCTCGAAATCACGAACAGCTTGCGCCCGCGCTTGCGAGTCACCCCTTGAGTCCGGGTTGAATGCTTTCCCACCGAGATCCATGATCTCCTCCATCAGCTTCTGGCGTGCAGTCTTTTCTGTCTTCTTCTTGTCGCCGCCCCCCATGGCCTGCTTGAGCGCCTCGAGCTCTTCGGGGCTGGGGTCTAGATTAGGATCCGCCATCGTGACGAGTCTCGATTATTATCACCGGGAAATAAAGGTGAGAGACCGTCCTTCTTCAGGCTGAGAGAGGTGAGGATGCCAACAACGGAAGTTGAGGACGTTGATTGATTAATCAGCACTTGAATCGGGAGTGCGCCTCTTTGAATTCGTGATATTGAGATGTCAACAGACTACCTATCTAGGGATATAATTGTAGTGTAGCATGAAACGGGGCCATCCCAAAATGAACCTGATCGATGTGAGTGATCTGCCTGGAGACCTGAGCGAGTTCAAGGCTTCGTCGCCGTGGCGAGGCGTGGAAGGTGAAAGAAGATTGGCCAATCAATTGTTAAACGTACAGTGAAGTGCACCCAGAGTGCAGGTGCTCACAGTGGGTCATCCTTACCTCAGAGACGCACGGTGCACATTGGGGCAGGTGCACCTACAGCGCGTTGCCAGTGCGTGGTGTCACACTACCACAACGCGTCTTCCCAACGTTCCCCTCTTCTTCTCTTCTTTCAACCAAATAAGTCAACAACACCTTCGACCTCCAACGCCCAACCATATGGATCCTCGCAATGCCCGAATGGGCCCAACCACAAGTCGGTCTCTGTTTCGATCCTTGGAAACTCACCCGAAATACAGTCAGAAGTCAAGCCTGTCGAGTTACACAGTCAAAACGCGCTGGCCCGAACGACGACGACAGCCATTCCCATCGAGTCTTTCAGCCCTCTCGCTCAGAGCACGGCGCCTCCCCCACAGTTCTCCGATTCCAGTTTTCCCGTAAAGGAATGTCCTTGGTGGCCGCTCAGGTGTTCGGTTCTTCCGCAGTACGTCGCAGCTTCGAGTCCTGTATCAGGAGCCTTCTCAAGCTTTGCCGCGCATGGGATTACTGCGGATTTCGGGGTTTTTTTTCCCACCTTTTCCGGCGCCTAGAGTGAACTGGTCTCGGAACTTAACCCTAAGTATACACTGGTCACATCCCAAGTCTTGCGCGCTTCGGCAGTCAAATCTACCTTACGCCTTCTACGTCTGCGTCATCGTGTGTTTGCCTTCGGGGTCTATGGCGCCGCTGAAAAGTTGCGTCCTCTAGGCTCTTGGTATTCTACTGGGTGACAAGGGCTGACCGGCAAGGGGAGAAGTTTCCAGTCATCTTGTGCCACTTCGGTGCGCAGATGGGCGAGGTGTCCGGTCCCATGAGTCAAAAGCTGGTAAGAACCTCTGGCCTGAGGTCGCTCGTCAGGACTGGACCACTGGACGCAGCACTCTGGTCACCATAGCGGGTTGTTCTGCACATGTCCCGTGGCTAGGTATACCGCGTTGGGGTAAGACACATTTGGGTGCCCTGCCATGCCTGTCATCCAGAAGTTCTTTCTGGCTCTGACTCGTGGGGCTTTGCGTTCGCAACGCATGCTCTGTGGAGTGACGAGGGGAGAGCGAAGACATGGCTACATACGATCACATCCCTCATTTCATCTTTCGGGTCTTCAGCTTGCCTCGCCTGAATCACTGCACTCGTGTGGTGAGCGGGGGCTGCATGACTACAAACGGAAATGTGGGGAAGGATTTTTTCATGCCTGTCTGTCGCGCTCTCTGCACCCTCCGATCTCTGTCTTGTATCGCATGCGCAGGAGCGGATACCCACTTGTACGTCTTCCTCCCGGATAACCTCCACCGACTATGTGGAACCGCGTTCGGCAACATACCGTCAACGTGTCATTGGCTTGTGTGTCATTGAGATCCCCGGCCAGGCGCATTAACCGATTTGCACGTATGGCTTCGTCCTACGTCGTGATTTGGACGCCAGAACCATGTTTGTTCAAATCTTCGGTCCGCAAGGAGAGAAGCTCTTTGGCAAACACCTTCCTTTCGACTGGGGTGCGCTGAAAAGTTCACTTCCGGGAGAGAGATGATAGCACGGTTTTTGAGGACGCATTTTGTCCGTGCGGTAATGCCCTCCTTTACACTTTCTCGCATGGTGCGGGAGTGTGGAGAGGAAACAAAAGCTAGTCTCAGTTGGCAGTGTTCTACACACGGAAAGACTCGTGGGACGGCTATCTCGACGATTCGGCTATCGATTTGGCTGCCGACACTTGACGACTACTATGTTAATGACGGTGCGGTTTCTTATGGAGGGCTAAACAAGTCCGCCATGACTTGCTGGTTTGGACTGTGAGAGTGGTGGTTGGGTGTCTCAAGTATCCTCTGGGGGTGTCCGTGTCCGTTCTGGGGGTGTCCGTGTCCGTTCCGGGGGAAGAAGGGTGTTTCTGGGCCAAACTCGTTGAAAACCAATGCTTTTGCAGCCCTTGGATTTCGGGGGATGGTAGTTGTGGATTTCTAGGGAAGAGAACCAAAGGTCGGGACCCATCTTGAGTTGGAGTCAAAGTTTCGTACTTGTCTGGCCTTCGGACCCCCTCTTTCTTGGTCTTCACTCCTGGCCTAGTCTGTGTCCTTGCGGAGGTTGGCTTTGCTGTTTGAGGTTTTGGTCCTTTAGGACAGGGGACTGCCTTCCTGGAAAGTGGTCTCCGGTTGTTCCTCGTTCCTGGAAGATGGCGGGAGGAACAACCCCTCACATTTTTTAGAGGATAAGTCTCCCTCCACTTACATGCTCCGGTTTTCGGTGCCATTCACATGGTCCGATGCTGACGTTCAAGTATAGGTATCCTAAACTCAAAATTGCAGAAGTGTGACCGGTGTCGAACGCCGCATTGCCAAAGTGCCAAGTTCTTTTCTTTCCATCCGCACCGTGATTTTCAGCAAACGTCTGTGCGACACCGGGTGATATCGAGGTGCGATGGGTGGGCTGTCCGCCGGTGTATCCAAGGAATGCCGGGCGTTTCGACATTGTCCGGGATGTTGGGCATAACAGGCCGTAAGTGTCGATCGGTAAGGTGAGGTACCTATCCCACTACCGGTGTGGCATAGCGTGATAGCCTTGCTTGCTTGCCTGCCTATGCACCACAGTAGCATCCTTGGTCGGTTGCCTCGTGCATTATCACATCATGTCCAGATACCGTCTTGCCTTTTGTCCCCGACGTCTCCGTGGTTGTTCCATGTCGAAGACGGTCGAGGGAGATGATAATGGTTCGATGTTTCAACCCAACGGCCCCATTGGGAAGGGAGGGAAAGGCCATGCTGTTACATCCTTGTAAGGTTGTTTGGTGGGGTTACCGGGGTGTGACTGGACTCGTCGAGGTTACCGTGTTCCCATTCCGTCTTTGTTCTACGGTTTGATATGCAGCTTTGATGACGCAGTTTGGGAGATGAAGCCAGAACTGAACATGGAAGCTTTCGTGCCTCGTGTTCAGCCTGCACTAACCCATCAAACTCCGCTAACGTCGGGCCAGCGAAGCTTCGAAACAGCGACTGCCTAGTTTCGCTGAACGTCCTGAGACTAATTCTCAGCTGATTCCATTACGGGCGGAAACCAATGAGTCTTTTCTCGCTTTCTTCCGAGCTTCCAAGCCACTAGTGTCAACCTCCAAGAACGTGCTAAACATTGCCCGGAAAATGCCGAAATCGTTCCCCTTTCCCATTTTGTTTAGCTTCCTCCGTCAACATGTGTTTTAGTGTAGTGTACTTCGCACTGCTACTATTTTAGGCAAACAACGCTAAGCTTTAGTGCTCAAACAGTGTTACATGGTTCTAAAGATTTTCCATGTCTCGGCGGAGCATCCGATCCATCACGACCCGACCTCCCGACCTAGGTATGTAGTTCGCAGACGAAGGCCGGATGCCCAAACGGTCTGATCTTCTCTAGGTTCGTTTCAAAAGAAAAAGGGTCAGTCAGGTATTGACGGGTTCATGCAAAAGATAAAATGGCCGTAATTCTGTTTCGGGTCACAAGAGCTTGGGAGTTGTGGCCAAAGCGGGGAATAAAAGATGAAGCGGCTCTGCGTTCCATGCTAGTTCTTCACGATCCACGCTCGTTTGTTGAGGATCAACGTTTGTTCTTCATGATGTGTCTTTGAGGGTTTGTAGGCGAAGGTAGTTAATTGTGGATGTTATTAGTTAGACGTCAGACATCGACAGGAGGCATGGTAGGTATCATACTGGTGTAGGACATCTAGGTTGGTATAGTTTGTAAAAATGCTTCTCACTGAGAAACGAACAACCACAAGAAAAAAAAAAGGAGAAAAAAAAAAAAAAAGGGAAAAAAAACGGAGGGTAACTAGTACTGTGAACTAAAGCAACATCATCGGCACAATCGGCCGGCACAACGGCACAAGACGAGACGGCACGGTGTTGAACGTGGAGCGGCTTGTTGGTTTCATTTGTATTTTTTTTCTCCCCATTCCACTCGGCTTCTTCTGGGTCCATTCTCTCTCTTCAAAATATTTTGACAAATAGTCAAAGCAAAACAATGAGCACTTAGTTGGAAGAAAGGAGGGAGGAGGGACTCAAGGGAGCCAGTAAGACACGTCAGTCATTCAGCACTCAATTACTTACTTTACTGTTTGTGTAGCTTGAGGTGCCCGGTTCCGTCCTTTACCAAGAATATTTGGTATTCGGTACGCACTGTGTTTGCAGCTTGATGCTTACTAGTTATTGGTCTTGACCGTTGGATCATCCAACGTCCTGACAATTTCCTTTCCGTCTTTTTTCATTCTTTCGTTCTTTGTCATGGGCTCTCTTTTTTTTTTTTTTTTTTTCTTTCCTTCGTCGACGTCGATTGTTCTTGACTGTGTGCATACGTACCTAGAGGGCTCGTTCCTCGTATCAGTATACTTGACTTGAAGCGGTTTTATTGATCACCATCCGCCGGTTTGGCTACCATCGTAGGCCGCGCGGTGTCTTGTCTCATATCTTTCACTTAATTTGATTTCATTGCGAAGTTTTCTAGGTAGGTGCATTAGAGGTTCGTAACACCTTCCAGATTGTTACGAGCATGGGTATGGTCAAAGACATGTGAACGAGATCAAATGCAAGTAAGAGAACAAGCAAAATCGCTTGTGTACTGTACAGGAAGGGAGGAATGCACATCGTACAGTATCGCATCTGTCTGTCAATGCGGACAACAACAGCGTTACATCAGCAAAGAAACTCCCCCATCGTCGTAGTAGAATGGAGTGTACTTGTTTCGGTAATCGCCATCGGATAATAACAAGCAGGGGGGGAGAGTCCACCGGTACGTAGTATACACGCAACAGTTTTGTGCTGAATGTTACAAACATGTGGATGTGAATGTGGGTGGGTGGGATTCTAGACGCCGGTCCTGTTTCCCGATGAAGCCGTTCCTTGTCGAATTTTCTTATGCGTTGTCATTCTTAAGGTGTCTGCCTGTTCAGGTTTGACCATAACAGCTAGGTAGTAAGTAGTTATAAATGGTCAGTTATAAAGGGTAACTGCGTGCCGTGGGCGAGGTTGCATGCATTCGTGGCATGGTTCGGTGAGTGAAGATTTTATGCACAAGATAGTAATTGATACACGTTAAGTCTGTGTGCTGCTGCTCAAAAGAGTAATGAAATCGCAAGAAGTAACCCAATGCCCTTTGAAAATCTGTACGTATGGGGGGTATCAAAACAGCAATCTCATGGAGCCTAAAACACGCCGGTATCCGAGTCCTTCCTTTCCCCCGTCTCAATCAATTTATTCGAGCCAATATTTTCCCGTGTCGAATCTCTAGCACAAAAAGGCAACCGGTATGTAAAACGTGATAACCTATAGGATATTTCTGTCCATCATTATGTTTCTGCGTATCTGGCGATGCCTCCTCTTTCTGTCTAACCCATTCGGTGAAGGCCTGTAGTGCTCATGACAGGCCGAGGTGTGTCGCTTGTTGTCATTGTTGTGGGGAAGACCTCGGGAGGAGACCCTCTAAATGCCGGAGTGAAATCACTAAGGTTGGTGGTCGAGCTGTTGCGAGCGCCCAAAGATGGATTGCCGGTATTGAATGTTGAGGTCAATCCAGTAAAGACGGGAGGGGCAACCCAGGTTGATTCGTAGGACAACATGCCATCTAGCGCCCGAGGTACGCGAATCTCGAAGCGTGTTGCCGATGGCACCACTTCCGATTCTTCTCCCCGTCCCATTGCCTGTCAGGAGGTCAGCATATGTGGCACCTTATAAGGGAAAAAAGAAATGCGTGATCTTACCAAGCAGGTAGCACAAGCAGCATAGTTGACCCAGACCCAATTCATGCAGTTGTAAGTGTAAAAGTGCTTGCACCGGTACTTGTAGTAACCGCCACCTTGACCGCCGCCGTTGCTCATTATGGCTAGTGTTGTAATGTGATTTTTGGAAAGGGACAAGTCTGCAGAAGAATGCTGGTAGAATGTGGAGTTGAGATATGACAAGTAAGATGTTGAACTGTTTGGGGCGTGTGTGATGATACTCTGGAAAAGAAAAAAGCAATGAGAACAAGAAAACCAGATCACGTATATATATATATACATAACGGGCGGCCCCAGAACGACGGCTGCTACGTCTGGATATGGGATATCAGGACCATTCCACAAGGCGAGGGAGGTGAACAAGGGTGCTCGGAGTCGTGCCGATGGGTATCCGACCCTCACATGGCATGACAAGGGTAACGAGCCCGAGCCTCAAAGACAAGACACTGGGCTGTTTGCTGTCAGAAGAGATGCCTGTTGCCTTGACATGTCTTGGTATTATTAAGGTGATGTATGTATGTATGTATGGATATGGAGCCATGGTCAAGTTCCACGCTTGTGTTAGTACCCTTGTTACTTGGCCTCTTTGGCTGCCGTCTCACGACCCTGGGTCATGGGTACGGAGCCTGATCTGGTGTCAGCCTATACTGTGGACGGGATATAAAGTGGAAATATGGGACAGGCAGAGTGAAGCTAGCCAAGAGGAAGACGCATGCAGCTTCCAGAACCTCATGACGGGAATTCTGGGTCCAGACAGAGGTCCATCAAGTACATGGGGGAGCAGGGGCTACCCTATACATAGCTGATACCCCCAGGCTAGCCTGTTTGATCGTGACCATTGGTCCCAGTCTTGGCCAATGCCGAATGTTGATGAAACAAAGATTTGGCCGACGGCAAAAGAAGATGTTATGTATTAGCGATAGCCAATGACGCTCGACAAGGATACGAGCGGTGTCTGGACAGCCGTAATGGCGAATGGATAGGATGGTGCCATGGGGGAAAAACCGTCCAGGCAGGAAGAAAAAAAGAGAGTAGTGCACAGAGAGAGGTGTTGGTATATAACAATGGAACCGTCACATCGAAACCCCACCATGGCACCTCGACAGGTTGTTTTTGAAGTGGCATGATACGTCGGTAGACAATGCTGAGTGGCGGCGGTGGAAGCCACCCACAGTCCTCAGGGCGTTTCCTCTCCATCTCCAATGCCGAAAGACTGCAATCCTGAGACATGATAGACGTGATGAGCATGTGAGGGGGACGGGCCGGGGAGACAATCACGCAGTACGCGATGTTGCACGACCAGACGAGTATAGTCCATGCGGGCCGTGACGGGACGGGATGACCACGGAAATGGTCTCTCATTGTACACTCATTCGTTGTTGAGGCTGAGATGTCGGATCCAATGGGGGAATTTGGATTGTCTCGTGTTGGTTGGCGGCGGCATGTGGGAGACGTTTCAATGTGAAGATTGGAGGAATTGACACCGCGATTGACAGTCGCACAAGAGACTGGCCCTTTCCCTTCCCCGCTGATGATTTAGCGGAGCTCTCGATCCGGGTCTCGGCCCAGCTGCGGATTCTCATTGGTTCAAGAGAGTCCCTTACTGTTCATCTGAGCTCAATCGGGTTAAGTCAGGAACAGGTACCGAGAGCTAGATTGTTAAGGAATTCCCCTTTCTGTGTCCACTGTTCAAACAACCACCTCGATTTGGAAACTTGTTTCTTCATCCGTCGTTGCAATCGGACCAGAACATTACCCCTGGAAACCGGGCTGGCTACATTGGGCAAGGTATCACATCCACGATCAGGCACCAAAACACCTCTGGCGAGCACTATGCACTATTCCGGACACCCTATCCCTTCATTACACGACACCCAAGTGGTGACGGCTATTTGCTTGCCTTCTAGAAGCCCATGTGTTGCACAGCATAACCTCTTCCCCCGTCGCTTTCACCATCCTGTCTAGTGTATCTATCTTGCCCCTCATCCGTCACCAGCCGATCTCGAGCTCACCGATGGATCTCATCACGAGCAAGAGATTGGTGCTTCCAAATCTCCCGTCAAAGACATGAGATGCTTTCAAGAGCTCAGCTGCCGTTGACATAGGATGATCATCTGCTCATTGTGGCAAATCTGCCCACGTTGCTCACCTTCTTCACGGCTTGCTAAGTTCATCTGGAGGGAGCCTCTTCCCACAACGGCAGCGACGAATAGACTATAAGTAGCGTAGGCAGATAACACTATAATGCCGTTGTCTGATAACGCGACCCCCAGCCTCAACCAACGTACACCACTCATTGTTTGGTAAACTTCATATGTACTGCCCGACGTCGCTCCATTTTCCATTGCTTAGTTCAGGCAAAGATTGGACGGATATATATCGTTAACCATTCCTGCCAAGTCTTTGGTGTCGAAGAAGATGGTCTTCAACTCCTGACTTTCGCACCATATCAAGCTCTGATGCTGCTTCGGCAATGCTGCATATGATATGGCGGACATGCCCATAATCAAGCTGCACGCCATTACTGCAGCTGTCAAGCAGAGAAAACGAATGGGGGAATTACCCAAGTGCAAGCAGCCGGTGGATGGCATGGGTAACGATATTCTTCCACAATGTTCAAACCGCAAGTATCCATCCAGCACGTCTATGGACTACCCTGCCAAGCGGATTAATGGGTTACATGGCATCAGCCTCTCCTGTCGTTGACTCCAAGTTGTCCTGTATCGCTGGACTTACACTACAAATACACATTGCCGGCCTGTGTACGCTTGCAATGTAGGGGTTGGGGTTACTGGAGGCCTTCAAGCTCAACTGTGTTTTTTGTGACCACTCAGGTGAGGCGGAAGATTTCCCGGTCTTGGCATCGTGACCGCGCGTTTCAATGTTTAATGGCTTCGCCCCAAGACGCGTCTCGCCTGAAAGTCGCCGCCCCGCTTCAGCACGGCAACATCATCAGCTACATTATACAATTTTTCAATCATATCTTCAGAATCACATGACCGGAAATGGCTCCCATGAGGGAAATAGCCGCGTCAGATGATGAGGGAAGCGACTTCGACCACATCGACAACGACGACGACGACGACGACGACGACGACGCGATCCAAGACGCGACTGTGCAGCACAACGAAGCCCAGGAAGGACACCAAAGTCTCCATGATGGTAGCAACGTCTCGACGGACCTGTCCTTCTTCCAGCGCGTCTACGACGAACAAAAAGCCGTTGCAAGCGCAGGAACATACATCGGCACCAACGTCACGACACAAGGGCACCACCAGCCCGCCTCAAAGAACGACCAATCCTCCTCGATAACCGATCCCGTACCCGCTAGCCGTCGACCGTTGAAAAGAAAGATTGGCGATAACATTGTCGACCTGACCGAGTTTACCCAGGTTACCACTCCTAGAAAAAGCGGTAACGGGAAAGAAAAGACCAACAAAGGCGTAGCTACGAGTGGTACACTACAAGAATCCGGCTCGGTACAACAGGCGGTACGCACATACGGCAAGCGAAAGCAAGCCGAGAGAACACAGCCAAGCCCCGAAACAAAAGATGAGATATCGCGGCAATCAATCGTTCGAATCGACCCCTACGAGTTCCCTGACGACGGAGACGATGACTATACAATCCCTTCAATCCCCAAGAAAAAAACAAAGGCAACAGCGAAACGCGCTTCGCCCACCTCAGCCAGCAGTCTCCCCGTGGCACATCCAAATGCAACTCCTGATCGCGATGACATCAGCTTCATCCCACTTCCCCCGTCCGAAAATGCACCTTCTTCCATCGTCCAGATCCGTAGCTACCAGAAACCAATATCAAGCGAAGAGAATGTCCCGACAAGCAGCCTATCTGCCACTGCGCCGCAGCGTCTATACATCGCTCCCAGTACCCTTACAGCCAGCCAGAAAGAAGAATACAGAATAGTCAGCTTGTCTACGCAGGGCACACAAGATAACCTGGCCACACAAGACAATTTGGCCCCACAAGAACACATACCTCCAGAGTCTTCGCTACCTGCTGTACCGCCATCAGATCCGTATCCACACCAAATGTTCGGAGACGGACTACTATATGCCGGGGCCGGGACTGCATACAAGTCAAGTGGCATGACTACTGTTGTGCCCTCTAACCTCAGTGACTTCATACGCCGCGGCAACGGTGATGGTGCGCTGGATGCCGCAGCGGCTGCGGCTATGACTCTGACATCGGGCTTGGGATCGGGCAGTTTAGAAATGGGGACTCCGGCGAGAGTTAGAACAACTTTTTCGGCGTCTTCTCCGGATATCATTGGCGGAGCATCGCCTGGAACTCGAAGAAGTGGAAGGAAGAGGAAGGCTAGTCAGTTCTCTGAGCAAGATGCGACTGAGAATAGCCCCTTGATGCGTAGTCAACTGGCAGAGGTTCGGGAGATGAGTGCAGAGGAGAATGCTGATTTCGCTCCTGGCGCAACGGATACTCCTCAAGCGTCCGAAGTTCTCGGCAATGATCAGTTGCAGAATGGACAGATTACCGAGCAACATACTCATGCTACTTTGCCCAGTAGTACCGTCAGAAAGAAGAGAGGGCGAAAGAAGAAAGAAGCCGTCCAAATGGTGACTGAAGAGGATGCTGTCCTGGACAATAGCTTTGAGGCTACCGAATATGAACAGCAAGAACAGGTCCCAGCAGCTGCTCCTGAGCCTACGGAGCTTGAACAGCCACCACCAAAACGAAGGCGTGGTCGTCCACGAAAGTCTGACGTTGCTGCCACTCAAATGTCAACCAAGCAACCGACTCCAGCACCCGAACCGGATGAGGGAGACGAGCTAGCCTCACCTGCACCAACAACAGGCAGAAAAGGGGGGGTTGCCAGCAACACCAACACAAGAAAACGAAAAGCGTCCGCGCCCATCGTCATAGACGACAGCGAAAGTGATGGAAATCTTTCCGATCCACCAGAAGAGTTGTCAGAAGCTGACAAGGAAGCCGAAAAGGATTCCATTGAAGCAGAGCTAGAAATACCCCCAAGTGACGAGGATGAGGATGAGGATCAAGAGGAAGAACTTCCCCGTAAGCGTGGACGGCCAGTAGGAACGGCCGCGGCGGCAGCGGCACCAAGAAAAGGGAAAAGAGGAAGGCCACCAAAAAACAAGGTGCTGCAAGAGGTCTCAGCCTCTTCTGCAAGGAAGAATAGCCGTTCAAAATCAAAACGCCAGGCGGAGTCGGATTCAGACGATCAGTATCAAGATCAAGACCAAGACCGGAAAAAGGACCTGGAAGAGCAAGAAGAAGCAGGAGCAGTGACTGAAAAGGAGAGTAACAAGGATGACCGGGGGGAAACTACTCCCATTCCTGATGCAAAGCCTCCCCGATCTCCCGAAACTCCTACGAAAGAAGTACATGAGGCCAAGGATAAGGACGTCAAAAAGGAGAAAGAGGTTATCAAGCCGACGAGCTTTTTGTCAACTCAGGGTAAAGTCAAGTACAGAGTGGGCCTGAGTAAACGGTCAAGAGTGGCGTCGTTGCTGAAGGTGGTTCCGAGGAAGCAATGATGATGAGAGGGGGCCGTTTGTTTGCCAGTCATTTATTCTATTGTATGACGATAGTATTTGCTTGTATATACCACGCTGTCACATTCACCACAAACCTACACAACTCATAATAATGACTCATGCCAGACCTCCCTTAGCCAACTATATGTACTTATATAACCAACCACTTGAGCTCGATCATCACGTATCTACTACCTAAAACCTTCGCCCAGCATCAAGATCACCATTTTCTTTTACCAAGCAACCTCGTTATACTCAACAACCCCCCTCTCTCAACCCCCCCTTCCAAGAAAAATACAATAAATGTGCATCCACACCATAAGCCGCATCCTCTGTCCCCGCTGCTGCCTCTCCGTCACTCTTACTTTCACCTCCGAAAGCAAGTGTCCCTCGGCCGCCGCCCTCGATGACGGACGCTACGACACTTCCGTTCCCAAAGAACATTGTCTAAAGTGGACCAATAGGGAAATCAGAATTTTCGGCCAGGAACCGTGTCATAATTGTAAGGACCAGCAAGAGGAGGTGTCGGCGTCGGTGGGGGGAGGTGAGAGGAGTGAGGGAGGTGAGGGGAGTAAGGCGGGTAAGGGTGATGATGGGATTAAGGCGGGTGAGGGGGTGAAAGGGGGATAGGGAGGGGAAGGAAGATGATGGAGGAGGAGGAGGAGAAGGAGCGAAAGTACTGGAGTAATGGGATGTAACAAGTTTGACGAATAATGGAATTGAGAACTTTGGTAGAGTTGGAGATGGAAATCAGATAGGTGGGTTAGTCTAGTGAGTTTAGCATAGATAGGCAGTCTGATAACCAGAGCTAGCTTGGCATAGTTTATATCAAGGATTGATGGTTAAAAGTGATATGGCGATGAGTTACCGCAGGTCAATCCAATCACAGTTATAGCTCCACAAACCACAATCTCATTCACTTCATCTACTCTATCCCACTCAAATTGACAACTAACCAATCCTCGCATCCAGCGCCATCATCTCCGCCTCATCATCCTCATCCATCTCATAATCACTAACCCTATCCCTCTCCTCCTCGAACCTCCTCCTCTCCTCCTCCTCCCTCCTCTTCCTCTCCCTTTCCTCCACCTCCCTCGCCGTCTTCAGCTCCACAATCATATCCTCCGCCATCTTTTCCTGATGCCTCTTGAGATCCTCCATTCCCCAAATACTCACGCCCTCCTGATCCTTGGCACTAAACGGCTGCGCCATCTGCTTCAAGAACGCCCGCGCATTCCCCACCGCCATATCCGTGCTCAGGTTCGTGTTCGCTTCCAAGAAAGCTTGGTTAATCCACTTGGGCAGCTGCGCGCGCTTCTTCATGAAGCGCCGGTCCGCCAGCACCATGACTCCGTAATCGTCTTTACCACGCAAGACGCGCCCCAGACACTGCGCGGCGTGGCGCATAGCGTCGAAAGAGAGAAAGTCGTTTTCGCGGATGCGGTACGTTTCGCGCAGGAATTCCAAGCGGGCCTTGAGGATGCGCGACTCGGTGTACTGGAAGGGCACGCCAATGCATAACACGGTGCGGCCGTACTGGTGGTCAAAGTCGATGCCTTCGGAGACTTTACCGCGCGCGACGCAGAGCAAGATGGCGCCGCGGCCGTTGCAGCAGGCGGTGCGGTAAGTTTCGAGCGCTAGGGAGGTTTCCTGCGCGTCTGGGGTTTCGACCAGGATGAGTTTGTGCTTCCACACTTCATCGAGGATGCCCATGCCTTGCCACATGGAGATGATGGATTCCATGTACAAGTACGAGGGAAAGAAGACGACCATGCCGTCGGGCGTGATGCGGGCGAACTCGGTAAGGAGGTTGCCGTAGTTGCGCACCACGCTGGGCTCGTTGCGGACTTGGAAGGAGGTGGAGATGGAGGCCTGGTCGGAGCCGCGGGTGACGATCATGGGGAGGAAAGAGCGGCGGGCGAGGGTCATGGCGTAGGATTCCTGCACGACGGTCTCGAAGTTGAGCATTTTGGGGTACATTTCAAGGGGGGAAATGGTGCCGGAGGTGATGATGACGGAGCTGAAACGGTCGAAGACGGGCTTGATGGCGATGGCGGCGTCGAGGCAGGTGAAGTGCAGGACTGGGTTCGGGGTCTTGGCCGTGTCGGATTCGTAGGGCTCGAGGATTAGTAGGAAGCCCTTTTCGTAGGTGGCGACGAGGGTTGCAAAGGTGGCTACTTCTTGGAGGGGCCGGTAGTCTTCAATGTTGGTAAGCTCGAGGGTCCGTACTAGCGAGGTTAGACGCTCGGCGCAGAACCGTAGCGGTTTCTTCTCGATGAAGGTGTATTCTTTTAGGTGGGCGAGAAAAGATGGTGGCGTTTCGGAGATGACCTGGCGGACCTTCATGCGGGTCTTGAGGTATTCGATAAATCTCCGGAGGAAGGCAACAAAGTGCTCAGCTCGCCTGATATTGCCGGGGACGGCCTCCTTGAGCAGATCGTCAGGTAGTGTTGGGTTGGCCATGAAAGCATCCTCCTGTCGCCCTTCATCTAGACCCTTGAGTCCTTCGACTAGCTTTTCGTACTCGGACTGGAGTTTCTCTTGATCAGAGTCCTTCATCTCGCTGATTTTGGCCTCCAAGTTCTGAGCACCCCTGGTTGCCCTCATCAGTGAGTCCTGGGTGATGTCGGTACTTAGAGACTCGATGCAGACGTTGTCGATGTTGTGAGCCTCGTCAAAGACGACGATGCAGTCCTTGGATAGATCCTTGGACACGCGCTCGGCGATCTTGGGGTCTAGGAGGTAGTGATAGGAGTAAATGATGACGTTGCAGTATTGCATCTACACATGAGCTGTTAGTATGTATGGCATTTCGAGCTATCAGATTCGTATCCTGAGGTGTTGAGAAGAGACCTACCATCCTCCTGGCAGTGAAATAAGGACACTGTTTCTTTTCCTCGCCATACCTCATCAGGCCATCCAGTGTCCAGATTCCGTTAGGGATCAAGTTATGCGGTTCTAGAAGGTCGAGATTGTCGTGGTAGACGCACGTCTCCACATTCTCCCCCTTTTCCCTCTTCTCCTTGACGAAGCCGGCCGTCAAGCTGCGACACCTCGCGTCGACAATGGCACCGCTCTTCTCCCGCTTGACCGAGGGGTGCAGACACAGGTTCTTTCGACTTGTCAGACCGAGACCGCGAAACTCTTCTTCGTGTCCCAGCCGCTCGGCTCGGAACTTCATGAGTGCTCTTAGCTCAACGAGGGCCTTTTCGATTTCGGACATTGTTCGCGAGCAGTAGATCAGCTTCCGGTGCTCTGGGTAGTATTGCTGGTAGGCGACAATGAGTGACAAGAGGGTGACGGTCTTGCCGGTGCCCGAAGGCATTTCCAGGACACAGTTCCCGCCTGCATCGAGGGTTTCTGTGGGGAGTGGTGGTGGTTAGTGGACGTGTGATGAGTGTGAGCTGTTTGTTGAATGCTCACTTTTCAAGTCCACCATGTACGCATATTGTTCTGTTAAGGCGGTCTGTCAGCACTTGTGATGGTATGCCAATGTGGATGAGCTCACATACCTGGATATATCCTTGGGTAAGGAAACAGAACTGGGAGATCGCTGTTGTTTACCGGCATATTAGTTACCTGGCTTTTTACAGACCAAGAACGCGTCATCTCGGATTCGGCCCTTACTCGATGTTGAATTCCATGGTGGGCGTCTAGTATCACGGCCTTGGATACAGGGACAAAGGGAGGGGATTGAGAATGGCTGCGCGGGCAGCAACGTTGATGAATATCTTGTTGGCTTTACTATGTCGCAAAATATCTACCGACGCGGGGGTCCAAATGGAGAAATGCGACAGGGCTGATGTTCAATACGATCGGTTGAAATCTTCTATTTCGATGTTTGGTTTGGTGAGAAATCGAGAAGTCGTGAAATCGAGGTCAACTTTAAGCCATGTGTCTGCACGCTGGAGCTTCTATCTTGGGTCTTGGCGGGGGCCGTCGTTCGTCTGTTCTTCGATATCCAAAGGTTCCTCCTCCCTCTTGTCTAAGCAACCTCGGGTCTTCCCCTAGACCGCGTATCTCTATTGTTATCGCGGTATGTATTGCGTTTGTCGTTGTTTAAAACTGTGAAGTCGAGAAAGCACGTGCCAAGGTTGCCTGGCGGTGGCCTGTGGCGATCAGCTTCAGGACAGGATCTCAGTGGATTTGATGGGTCAATGATGTGCTGTTTCTGGGAATCCGGATCTGGCACAAGGTCACGCACGGTGATACTTTTACGGTGAGCTTTTGCCGGTCCGGCACGCGTATTGCCAGCCCGCTGATGCCGGAGCGGCCCACACGCACAGTCATTTCTAGAGCTCAATTGCACTGTGGTCTTCACAAGTACTCGATCAACACCACTCACCACTTCACGACTTCATCGTCACTTTCACTTCTTCAGCAGCCTATATATCCATATTTCCTTTGCGCACACATGTTTTCATGCTCAAAACTCGGTGCACACGCCGCGCTGATAGAGTCAGCCTGTCTTCTTTCGCGACTACAATGCTTTTCGTCTAGCGCAATCGGCGGACTTGGAATTTTCTCAGATTCGAATTATACGAGAACTATCAATGTTGGTTAACTTATCGCTGTCAGTATCGCAAATCGCTATCTTGCCCATTATCTATCAATTCACAGGTCTCTTGTCAAAGGAAGAAATGAAAAAGAACGACCAACGGAAAAGCAGATCCATCAAACGAAAAGCCAAACGAATGGGCAAAAACAAGCCTCAAAAAAGAGAAACCTCATCTAAAAACGGCTTAGAAACAACGACTGGGGGCAAGAAGATTAATGCCCCCTCTCATTCCAATACCGTCCGTGGAGTACTACGGCGATTTCCAACATTTCTATCTTCCTCAGTAACAACATGCAGTTTCTCAGCATAACCATTTATGTGGCTGTTCCATAGTTACTGGAACTTAAGAGTTCAAAGTTCCCACATCGACGAGTCACCTACCACTCTTCATGGCACGTCAACTGACTGCCAGGTATATTTCCACTTTGGGTGGTGACCTAGATAACCTGACTCTGGTATGCCACCACCGGCGGTTGTTGGCGCATGAGTGAATACGAGCAGCGACTGTGACGATGGAAGAAAACGGGGCCCATCAAATCGCGTTGGCGCTTGTCTGTTCATTAACCGCCGGTTTGGAGCAGCAGCAAAGTTCCCAATTCCAAGTAGACTTCCGAAGGATTTTAAACCCCGCCGCGCGGTTGCGATCCTTCGCCCCGGACTTACTTCTATATCTACACAGAGGTACTCAGGGTGGGTGCGTGGTGATGGGTGTATGTAGATAGGTAGGCGCGCCCTCGCTGCCGTTGAGTCTAGATCGGGGCGAGGGGAGGACGGAGGATTTGAATCGACTCCCGAACGCCTCCTACTTGCATCGAATCGCCTGTCAGAAGAGGTGGGCACCTAGAGGTAGGCAGCCGGGCAGGTACTTATAAGTTGTTTTAGACGCCGCTGCTGTGGCTGTCAGAACTTTAACAGACTCCTCTTCCCTCCTCTACACGGCGGTGATGATTAGTGATCGGAACCCACTTGGAGAAAGGAGGGGGGAGGGATAGAAGCTTATAAAGGTGGTTAGTTGGTGTCGGTTAGTGTTGGGCATTGTTTCGGCATTTGCAGTGCCTCCGTATCAACCGTGGAGGCAACACATTAGTAAAATCAAAAGTGCACCTCATATTTTTTCCGTTGAGGGGAGGAACGATGTGGGAAGGGCGCTAGAGGACGAGAAGTGAGAGTGTGGGTTGTGAGTCTGGGTACCAAAGGACATCAAGATGAAGTACTTTTTCCTTGCCTTGAGTTGGTTGCCTGTACAAAAGGCATGGTATACCTGCCTCTTTACTGCCAAAGATGAAGACAGTGAGTGAAAAGGACTTGATTATCTAGGCCCATGGAGCTATCATGACTTGGTTCCTTGACTTGCGATCTTCGAGTATGGATGAGATACTCGGATCATTATCCTTTTCAAGTCATACCTAGGCAGCCTTTTGCCAAACTTTACTACTGTAGCAAAGCTGGAGAAAAGAACACAGAATGGACGGCAAATCAAAGCTAAACTTCCAGCTACATAGTCGCTTCTCAAAGATTGAGGCTCAGCATCCTCACCATCACAAATTCCACGGCCCCCCACATGGAGGACTTGCTGTCTCCTTCGCCTCGGTCGACACGGATATATCCGCCCTTTATTTCCAGCTAGCAGAATCAACAGGTCCTTTTGCGTGCGGTTGTTTCTGGTAAGAGCTAAGCTAAACATACGTCAACACCACCTTTGTTAGCCTGGAAAAGCAAGGGTATTTTGTCCTCATTGTGTGGATGCGTGTGCCATGCAAGAGACCGACTGAGAGGTTCTTTTACCTTCAAGATAGTATCAGGTACCTCTACGAAAGGTATCACAGGTACTGGTACTGTATGAATAGTATACCTAGACACTGCAATGACAGATGGAGGGTCCAATCGTCAGCATCATGATACGTACGAATTCGGAGTCTCCCCGTGATGGGCTCGTCTATTTGAGGCACGTTTTTGACCCAATCGAGTGATTCGTGTCAGCAGGTCGGTCAGTCTCAAGCTCTCATTGCACCATCCACCTTTCATCTCTTTATAGTGTAGTGTGGTCGCCGTAGCACCGGATCTTCCCCGGCTTGTCGGGGGGTCTGCTTCTGGTTGGTTGGATGATTTTCGTCTCACACACACCCATCTCTTTCTGAAGGGTGTTTTCCAGTTCCTCAAAGGGAATACCACTACAGCACCGCAGGGCTGTATACATAGTAACCACCAAGAAGCAGCACAACTGAACAACAGGAAATACCCGTGTCAGGTCAATAATTTGAGGGATCGTCATAAGCACCAATGCAGTCCGACGCACCTCCTTTTTACCGGGACGATCCTGACGTTGATTACATACAGATGTCCTTACGACCATTTCGTCCACCATTTTTTTCTCGCGGTTTTCGGGGATATAAGAATGAACTAGAAGGGACAGGTCTCCGTTGTCGGACGCTAACGACAAAGGACAATGTCGCTCACCAGCATCTGCCCCATTTGAAGGACTGTGATCCAGTAGTTCTGACATGAGGACACGGTACATATGCACTTTCCTGATCTCACGGTTCCATACAGGACGTACGTATGTAGTGTACATGGAGCCTGCCGTCCGGGCCCCCCTGATTTGGCCTATATTATCCGGGCGATATAGCTCCAGAGCTTCTAGAAGCAGCGATGGAACCCTTCCCTAGGCTGATAAGGCGACCCATCCATACCAGCCACCGTACCAAACGCGGTGAACTGTGGGATGCTGTAAAAGGTGACAGGGAAGTATGTGATATACACATCAGTCCTGGTAAGTTCGTTAGCTTGGTACCTACAGACAGGGGTTTTAAGCAGGGGAGACGGGGAATGTAACAGCCCGCTAGAAGTACCCTTTTAATGCCCTATGATTATACCGATTATAGAGGGTATACTGGGGAATTCTAGTATTTCTAGTTAGAATTCGAGGGTTTGTGTGTGGGTGGTTGAATCCCTCCTGTCAACCGATTCTCACTTTGGAATCAAGTTATTTGAACCAATCAGAGCTCGTAGATAGACTTATCCTGCCTTACGATTCCCCCTGTTACCCCCTTGTAAGAATATGTGGGGCGAGTAAGAGACTAACAAACTTTCCAGGACTGATGTGTACTACGCACTCTTCGCAACGCAACAAATATCCCACCATATTTGATGCAAAAGATTGGTATCAACCAGATGCATTTTGGATGGTTTATACACTTCATTTAATTTTGTGTTTTGAATGCGGTTGTCCCGTTGTTTCTCTGTGAAGTTTGGCAGACCCTTGTCACAAGAACCGCGCTAACAAACTTTTAAGGGTTGATGTATACGTACCCCTCGTACGGCAGTACGCAGTAAGCACTTTGAGCTTGATTGTTGGAAACGAATGGATCATGGTGCTTTGAGAGAGTGGGAGCGAGGTCCCGTCATCGTTCGTTGTGTGCTCGCCGCTCCGCATTCGTATCTTGACATGTCTGACTTTGGTTCGGTTCGGTTCGGTCAGTCGCCTTTTGTTTGTCGGCGCGTTAGTCATAGCTTCGGAAGGACTGCTTGTTAGGATTTGTCACTGAAATAAGGTCATCACAGCATGAAAGGGCGATAACAAAGTTCCCTGTAGAGTGACAGAAGAAGAAGAATACCCGAGGAGGGGACCAGGCCTCCCTGCCGCCGACGACGATGACGAGGAAAGACAAAAGGAAAGGAATTGGTGGCAGCCCAAACCCCTCTGCTCTGCCCTTCCCTCGTTCGCCTGTGTATGGCCGGACTGCCGGGTATGGTATGTTCATGGTTGGTGGTAAGCCAAGCCAAGAAGAACCTTGAAAGAGGGCACACGGTGCCGCACAAATGCCGTGCAACCCCATGCGTTCATTACGGCGGCTGTTGGACCAATCAGGGCGCTGCTGCGGCGAGTTTAAAAAGGGCTTTGTTGCATTGTTGGTTGGTTGGATGTAACTAAATTGTCCGCAGTACATACCTAGTGTACCTACCTATGAGTGTGGTTCGAAATTGTATCCAGAAAAGGATCGATGATGGACCCCCTACACTAGAAGAACACATGAAATAGATGCAAGTAAAATTGAAAAAGAGAGTAATAGCCCGAGATGACAATAACGCGCAATCATCTCTTCATGACCTTTTCCCACTTTTGGAGAGACGACAGAAATGCTACGTATGGCCTAGGTATCGGCAATTGGGACACTCGGACTTTTGGTAGGTGGATGTTATGCGAGCGGTACCCTCGCATTCAAACAAGTGAACATTGGCGTTGGGGGCCAAAAATTTGCGAGAAGCCAATGATTGTGAGTCGATGCCAGGCTTAGACACCAGACATAGGACGGCTAGTAAGTACGGGGGAACCGAAAAAAGAGAACAAAAAGTAGCTGCCTAGACTTAGTTGTTATTCTAAATATCATGATACGACTGCATCATGGCGATGCCACGGCCGCATTTTGGGCCTTTTGTCTCTCGGTGTGTGTTTCTCGCTCGACAGCATCATAAGGCTGAGTTCCGGGATGGGAACGGTACACTGCATTGCTATCCCGGCTCGGGTGTCCGCAGACAGGTAGAGCTGAGCTGGTTGGGACCGACGAACGCGAGCTCAAGTTGGGTCATGTCGTATTTGGCAAAACCATGGAACATCAAGGGCGACTCGCTTGGAGTTCACCTGACCTCATGCCGTGGGGTGATTGGGCAACCGGATTTGTTGGTGAGAGGTACTGTAGTGTATGTATGTATGCTTCTACATACCCTATCTTGGCTTTTGTCTGATGGCATCAGAAGAGCAGCAGCAGACCCTGAAGGAGCGATCTCGTCTCACCAGTTGTCGTCTGAGCTACAATATGTATGTACATATCCACTTGGCTGCAAGGCACCTCATCCGCGGAGTGGAGAGGTTTTCCCGAGCATGTGGAGGTTCCCGTCTCCGCCGCAGCCGCCGCCGCTTGAGCCCTGTAGGGACCGGCGATCGAGGACCATCAACCGGCCAACAACCGGCCCTCTCAACTCTTTCCAAACAGTTGGTTTCCACCTTGTGATCACCTCTACATACCTACTGTATTCATTCCATTTTATTACTTGTCACCAACAAGCCAACAGTCAAGTAAAGGCGGATATGACCGAAAACAATGCAAACCAACTGCATCCCGCCTTTCTGCACACTATTACACTTTACAGTAGAATGGCGGGCGGTCCGACCCTTGCATCCCCTAACCGGCACGCCTCACTGGTGCGCTGCCATGCGCTAACGGATGACTTACAGCAAGATATACAGCAGCCCTTGGCCACTGACAATCAATTCACAGCTCCGAACGAATGGTCCTCCATTCAATCCGACCGATTGCGTCACACACCCGTCTCTGGATAAAAGTTCAGAAAGGATCGATGCCCGCCCTGTCTTGCCCTGTTAATGGCCGTTCGGCGGCGTTCGTCATCTTCGCAATCGAGTCCTAAGTACCAAGTCCTCCCTGTCCTGAATGCAATGATCCGATGACCCCGCAGTTGACTGGTTCTTAAACGCGACTGAGCATTTTGCCTACCACGCACCACTAATCACCACCCAGAGTCCAGTCTCTGTCAACTCACTCGAGAACACTCGTGGACACATACACCCCAATCAAAGAGTCCGAGTAATCGAATGTAACCCCGGCGGCCGCGTGGGCAGAAGGTGTATAGAAATGTGTTGAGGTTTATGGCCCCCACCCCCGAGCACCTCCAATCTTCGCACCAGCGACGAACGAGAAGACAAAGATCCAACGATAATCAAAAGTGGAAGCAAAACATATTGTCCGAGAGAAATATCAGTGATCTAGCGATTAGTTGGTTGTCTAGTTAATAACAAGATGCCGACGGTAATACGATATACGAGATATACGGAGACGGGCCCGTTACATTTGTGTTGATTTGTGTTAAGTTGTACGGAACAGAATAGTTCCTTCATTCACCTCTTTGGTACTAACTCTGTACACATCTTTATTTTTATCTACGGACCATTGAAGATGAGCATATCAAGTTACAGACCTAGGTACCTCTTGTTTGCAATCATACACTATACATCCCGTCACGTCATGTTGGCCCCTAGATCGGGTCTGGTCGGTCAGTTCCCCCGCGGCCCCCTGGGTGTAGTGTACACCCAACGAACCATTCATTCATTCATTCATTTATTCAGTAAGGGAGTGGCCTCTATTCTAAGCCACCCGAGTCCCTGGACATGGTACCAACCAACCTTTGTGTCGTAACCATGAGCATCAATCATCACATCACATATTATCACAATTCCCGAACTGCGACTACCATCACGAACGTCTCTGTTTTTTCCTTACCAATTTTCATTTTCATTTTCTACTTAAACCTCCTCTGTCTAAAGCCTGACAGTCAAGTTAACTTTGACTGACTTGAAACTCGGGGAAAGCTCATGCTGCGCCTGTGATGATGATGGAATGGAATGTGATGGGGGGGGGGGGAGTGATGAGCAATCAATCAATCAAACATCCGAACCTACCTACTTACCTCTAAGCAGCTTGCTTCCCTTCAAATCAGTCCAGTCATAATATGTAAGCCAATCATTCATACCTAGTCTACCCCTCCTCCTCCCTGACCTAACTTTGCATCTCACCTAACCGACATTTTGGTTCTTGACGGTTTAGTTGGCGCGCAAACTTCTCTTTTCTTTTTTTTTTTTTTCCCCTTCTTTCTAGTTTCATCTTTTTTATTTTCAGAAGGTTTGTTGAATGCTTTCTAATTGAAGGGGTCAGATCAGTCTTGGCTGGCTTTGGAAACAGTCTGTTCTCCCAGGGAATTTCAGGTTTCAAAGAGGTCGGATGTGTACATTTGTATGTTTCGGTCATGGTTATGATATGTGCAATGTGGAGAGTGTATGTGTAGTGTGCGTCTGTTCGTTCAGACATGATGAATAGATAAATAAGCAGAGTACTCTTTTACTCGTTAAACAGAAACACGCTAATAAACAATTTTTTTTAAAAAAAAAAAGGGGTGACGAGAAGAAAAAAAATGAACTTTGCTATCACAAGATGCGTGCTGAACATCAAAAATAAGGACTCTGCCGCCCGCGCGCTATAACCTGTGTAATGTTTCTATGCCAACCCACCGACCAACCGACCTCCCTGAACTAAACCCTTACCAAAAAAAAACCAAAAACCGCCAGTCCATACACGACCGACCATACTCTGTTTATGAACCGTTACATAAAAAGAAGAAACAAGAATAAAGAACCATCAGGCAGACACAAATCCCAACTTCCCGCTAATGATGACCAAAAATCGAACAGAGTAGAAAAGAAAGTAGTACATTAATCGTACAAGCGAGCGATGAGTATCACAACCACTCTCTTTGATAGTTCCCTCTTTTGGTATCTCCAGAATAGTAACCTAAAAGTGGAAACAAGAAGTAGAAATATGAAACGTCTTTCATCATTTTATCGTACAAGCGTAATGGATATGGACTTGGGGTGACTGAGGTAATCACGTCAGCTCACCTCCCCCAAGAATGACCCTGGCCACCACCAGCCCTCATAGAAGATGACAGCGCCGAGAGGATGCCACTGCTGCCTAGGGATGGGATAGCCATGGGTGGAAGGCTGTCGATGTTGTTGGTCGATGACGAGAGGGTGTAGTGCTGACTCATGGGGCCAGAGGAAGAAGGTCGTGCGAAGCTGTCGTAGGTCTCTGGTCGGAGATCCATGGTGCCGATGTCGAAGCGTTTGGAGCAACCATCTTCCATGTGCCTGTTTGCAAAGAAGGACATGCATTAGTATCGGAAAGTATAAAGGGATGGGGACGTTTGAAGGAGAGAGAGGAGGGGCTTACCTTCGCAGAGTATCTTTCCTGGCAAACAGACGGCCGCAGTAATCGCATTTGTGGCTGCGCTCCTTCAAGTGCACACTCTGATGATGTCTCTGGAGATCGGTTTTGCGAACAAACTTCTTGGTGCAACCGGCTTCCTGGCAGGGGAAGGGATAATCCCGGTTTGGCTCGTGTGTCTCCAGGTGCGCCTTGTAATTGTAGCTTCGGCTGAATAGTTTCCCACATCCCTTGACCTCGCACTGAAAGTTGGCTTCCTCTTTCGTCGTCAAGCGCCGTTGTTGTCTCTTGGGACGGGGAACTCGGTAGGATCGTTGTCCGTTTTGGAGGAAAGCTGATGTTTGCGCGGCTCCAGGGCCTGGGTAAAATTCGGTTTCGAGAGGCGGGTAGTCTGACTTTTGCCATCCTGATGATCCTCCGTCTGAGAGATAACCAGCAGTGTTGTGTGTGTAGGCGCCGCTGTCTGAAGGGTAGGAAGTGTGCATCGAACGAGGCGATGGGTATTGAGAGACTTCCATGCTTGACCCGTACTCTGTCTCCATCTTGACCCGCGGTGTTAGAGATCCACCCATCGATGCGTTTGAAAGGTAGGGAAGTGACGTCCTTGATGCAGGTGGAATTGGAGATCGGGATGACGGGCCGGAAGGCGGCGGCGTAGATGTTGAAAGAGGATGGCCGCTGTGATGCGAGTGATAAACATCATGGCTATAAGGATAGCTCCCATACGACTCGTACGCTGCGGCAAGGATGCTAGGCATACCGGTGGCGGAGGAGGCAGGGAGAATGACGGTGCTGTTCCAGTCGGGCTGACCCATTGATTCAAGTGGTGGTAGTGATGACCCCGGGTCCATAGACGAAGTTACGGAACAGGATTGGTCACCATAGATGGACGAGATCTTGTATTGCTGTTCCACCAGGCCGGGCGAGGGATAACCCACTGATGACCTTTCGGAAGGACAGTAACTGTGCGAGGGGGTTGAAGGTGACCTGGTCAGAGAGGGCGGAGTGAGGGCCATGCTGGAGAATCTTTTTGTGTGAATGGGGATGAGAGGTGTTGGCTGATGTTGGATTATATACGAATTCGTAAGGCTGAAGATGGACACGATGACCTGCGATGGACCTTGTTGTTGCTGGAGAGGAGCGAGAACTAGGCGGGGAGAGATGCCGAGTAAGATTGCGCCGGGGGTCCGATTGGGTTGTTAGACGCAGTCAAGGGGCTTTGCCTTATGAAAGGATGGGGGTGCGAGCCAGATATAGGAATGGGCGGACGGTAACTTGTATTGGGAGTTGGGACCAAGTATTCGGTATATACTTGGGAATGGTGATGCTGAGATGTGAAGCAGGCTGTGGAAGCACAGAACAACGGGTGTGGATGACAAGGCAGACAACCGGGGTGTCTTATACACCTCCATGATGGGACCATCTTTTTCTGCCTGGCTAAGAATGGAGTAAGCGCTGCTATACAGAGAGCTTCCCCATAGGAACCTGGGGGCCAAATGCACATCATGGGGATGCAGATGACTGGGCAAGGGGCAGACAGACTGACTGCATAGTACCTACCTTGGAGCTCACTGCACACACAGTACGGTGGACAGGATGTAGCACGGCAAGTGGAACGTCGACTGCTTGTGAGAAGACATGGGTTTGTGGCGGCGGTGGCTGCGCATGGGGTAGGTAAGGCTAGCAAGAAGTAGGTGTGTGTGTGTGTGTGTGTGATTGAAGGTCCTGGAAGAGGAAACAGGACATGACAGCCCATGTACCGATTCAGAATTACGGTTGGACTAATTTGGGTGACAGGGTCAGTTGACACCACCCTGATTAGGTAGGAAGGGGGATTCCTGCAGAACAAGCGACTGTCTTGTCCCGCAAAAAGAGACATGTTGGCTCAGTGTCTCACTGAGACTCCGAGTCCTAGATTTGGGTGTGAAGATGGTGCAGAAAGATACCCTAGGTAGTGTACCGCAAGGGTGGGAAGATTTAGTGTACAGCGCCCGGAATAGACAAGTGTAGTGTAGAGAGATGACGGACTCGGATAATAGCAGTACGTAGAGGTAGGTATGGATGATGACCTTGGAGGGGAAAATAGAACTCGATGCAGTAGTGTAAGGTGTTACCTCTCTGACGGCTGAAGTATACCTACCTATCAAGGGTGCAGAACGCAGTCGATCTAATAAAAGTAGAGGCTGCGGTATATCCCCGTTATTGGAGTGACATTGGCTGGGTAGCTGAAGGCTTGTAGCTGTACAATAATACCTACCTTGGGGCTTTGGAGTGTATAGGGCCAGCCAGGACCCCGCCAACAGGGCTGGGTGACCAGTCACACAGCAGCTCACGGCACTCCTCTTGACTCCCTGGCCGGATGGTTGGTGCGAGCTTGCGAGGGACACACTCCGTTGGGTCTAGCAACAGAAGCTGTGTGCTCATCGTTCGGTCTCCGTTGTGCGGAAAGGGTCTGGCCAAGAAGACCCGAGACTTGGCTCCCTGTCAAGAGCGTGCCATGCCGGATATGTTTGGTAGCCAATCCGTACGGGATTAATAGCTGGTCAACTCTCATCATAAAGAAGAACCATGATCGATTGGGGAGAGGAGAATGGACTCGGCCGACAGTTCAACAGTGTAAAGTGGCAGTTTGTGAGAACGGTATGGCAAGCACAACACCCGGGGACGCCATCCACGGGTACCTTGGGGCGCAATCTGTCGAAGCCGGTGTGGCAGAGGAGGACAGTGTCTCGACTCTGGATGTATTCATGGTGTGGGGGAGGCGAGCGCTTGCGCCTGTTTGCTGGACGGGGGACTTGTCTGAGTGGTCAAGCGGCCGACAACAGACGCGGCATCACGAATAGGCGATGTGGGATGCAGGGGACTCTGGGCTGGCGATGAGCGTGAGATGATGCTCTTCTCAGCGACGGAATCGACGGGACCTCGTCCACACAGGAAGAGATTCCGAGTGGTTGGAGTGGTCCAGTGGGCTTCCGAGAGACGACGGAAAGAGTCTAGTTGCTGTAACGGCCCCCAATTGGCCGTGTGTGATCAGAGAATGGGAGACATGTGAGGTCTGAGGGCATCGACACGTTGGTTCCTTTTCGGCCCCCAACTTTGTGTCCGCTTATGGGCAGAGGCCGATGAGACGTAAGAGGGGTGATGATGAATGTCCGTGTTGGTTTAGATGGAAAGAAGGGACACGAAATGGTATGAGGTGTTGTTCCTAGGGACAGGTCAATAGAAGGTGAAGCGAGTGAGTTGCCGCGAAGGATCAACCTCTTCATGCGATGAATGAAGGGAGCGGGGAAGTGATGAACGGAAGGGAATTGATGCGGGACTAGGAAAGCGCAGAGGCAGATCTGGAGCCACCTATGGAACCTAGTTGGAGATCGGCTCCACTCTTTAGCGGGATCCCACAAGGCTACTCTCGCTGTACTCAGCCCAGTTCAGCGCAGCTACAGGGGGCGAGGAGAAGCTATCGGGCCACACTGTTCCCAAACAACAACAACAACAACAACATCAATCCCACATCTCCTCGATCACGAGGCGCCATCGCCTACACGCCCTTCCATCAACATGGGATCAAGCGATTTTAACTGTCAAAAAGCACATCGGACGTCATTGACAAGGCTCTGCGCACCCGACAGTCACAACCTAGCCTATACATCCGCTTGAACACCGAGTACTGTTTGTACAACCGCGGGACGACAACTCTTCAGGGGCATCACCCCGAGCGCTCTTTGGTGGGACGCAACCGGGACAACTCTGAGTCCGGCGCAACAAAGGTCCCTCCTTCTTCTGCGCCTTCTGGAAGCTTTTTGGCCAAACTGTCATCAAAGGTACCTTGACTCGCTCAGTCGCCAGGCAGCCAGATATCCATGGAGAGTCGGAAGAGGCTCATCCTGTGCAAAAGGCCCCCTTGGTACGACTACTGTGGGACATTGTAACGAGGCCACTGCACTGTGAGGCTTCGGATGGGCTGGCCTGCAGCTCGGCAACAGCCACACAAGTGCTATTCTTCGGATTCCATTCCCTAAAGTGGTGCCTAATTCTACCCCATGTCTCCGTGGTTTGCCAGGGATACGAAGAATAGGCATGACTAGACGACCGGCACCATATCCGTTATGCCCTGGGACCTGACCCTTGAACGTCCTGATAAACATGTCATGAATATCGGCAAGCCATCCTAGACTTGCACCTAGACATTCGTCGTCCTCACGGCTATGTCATCAAAAAAACCTCCGTTCATCATCGATCACGGTACCCGCGGCGAGTTTCTCGAGCCAGCTTATTTGTTGTCAACTGACGGTAACTTGACGGCTTTTTAAGCACTCGCATGCTAACCACTACGAGATCTTTGGTTACGTTTGTCACACAAGGCCATTTCACCGAACAGCGCCGACAAGAGGAGGTATGCGCAAGGTGAACCATAAACTTTGTGCCATGATCAGCCTTAGCCGAAAACCGTTGTCTCTCCCATCGCTATGGGCTGCTAGCGAGCTCCCACCCCCCACGCTTTGATGTTGTTGGGCCCCTACCCTACCTTTCTACTTGTTTCTTGACAACGTCTCGTACGCAAACTACCTCGCTAAACCCCAAATTTGGGCCAATGAAGGTCAAGTTTCAGAGACAAAGCGACACAACTTGGCACAAATGGCGTTCTGCGACCTTGCGGAAATCCGATCGTCAACGGGCCATGACACCATTCGGCTGTGCCTCTTCCTCTCTTGCGCCTCAGCACCTTAAATCCTAGTGCAAAGATGAGCCGATAGACCCAGAGAACGCTATAACGCCATGTTAGGTATTTGACCAATCTTCAGGACACTCTTATCTTGCTCACTATCGAACTAACCGAACCGCTCCCAACATGGACAGAAATCATCAGTAATTCGTCGGCAGATGAGATGGAGGGAGTAGTAGAGTTGTATCAAAGCTTTCCGACGCTTCGGAGGTCCCGTGGCTGCATCTCGAACCCCGGACCAATCAACCTTGATGTTGTAGCTGACTGCTGCAGGTGACATCAGATTCCCTTTCGTCTTGTCCGTTCACCGAGCTTATCGCTCTTCAGAGTGGACAAACGTGATTCGCCTGAGGCCGAGACGAATCATATCAAATATCTGGCTGTCTCTCAAAAAGCCGATACAAAGACAGAGTCCTCCATGATTCGATTACCTGACGTTAGCAGTAACCGAAGTGGAAAATGGTGGCTGCAGATTAGCGGGCCATATCCCCAGAATAACACCACCTAACGACACCATTGGCAGCATGGGAGCACTGCATGCAACATCACAGCACCTAGGTATTTATTTCTGTGAGGCTGCTGCTGAAACATCTGGCGGCATGTTTCCATTATAGAGCTGACGCAATATACCTCAGTCGTTTCGTTGGCCGTTTGGCTGATTGAACGAGAACAAATCAGGTGGCAGTGTCCATCTCGTCCAAGCTTCGTGAACCGTCAAGACACTTGGTACGAACAGGTCGTATTGCGAGCTCGTTCCTGTTTACACAACGTTGGCAACGTCAACATCTAGTAGCAGGCTAGGTAGAGGTAGAGCTACTATAGTGGATCACGAGGTCACACTGGCTGACTGCTAGGTAACAACGAGCCCTGAGTGGTTCTGTAGCGTACCGGTGTTCTCTCTTTATTAATCATTACAAGCAGTCTCTTCTCTTTCCTTGTCATCAACTTCACGTCTTTTTTTTTTCTGACCGGGTCAATAATAAAGCCGAGAACACTGGTGGACAACGAAGAAAGTGCATTCTCACACACACAGCCACACTTCCACTTCCCTTCAGCCCCCATCAGCCGGTCGTTGATAACATCAGACCCCAGACCCCAGCATCATGTCTGTTGCTTCAACTCTAGTTAACACAGCGAGTTGCCAAGCCTACCCATTGTATTGCACCATACCCCGGACATTGAGACTCTTTCTCTAGCATGGTTATGATTACTGATCATGAAACTACCTGGCCCCCATATGTATCTGCAAGCAATCCTTTCGGGTCAGTCGTGTAGCATCTTCAAAAAACTTACCTACATTACACTGCAGTGCCCTCCACGTAACTCGGAACCTGGCGAGAGCAGGCTGCGAGCGGGTACCTTGCAGCTGGGCTGAGGCGATAACCTTTTCCCACTTCAGCTCTTGAGCTCAGCCTCCTCCTCCGTTCCTCTACAGTCTCTTTGTTCCCCTCTTATCATTTATCTTCTCTCCTGGCCCTATTGTTCCATTTACCAGCAGCTCTCTACTAATATCCAAGGTAATCTTCAAAGGTGAAACATATGGCTGGTTGATGAGCATCAGATATATTTCAGCTCTATGGGTGCATTGCAATGATTCCAATGGAGGTTGTCATGTTCGCTTGTTAAAGACAGATATCCTTTGGTTTTCCCTATTTCCCCCCCCCCCCCCCCTCCTTCCTCCTTTGGTTACCCTGTTGCTTCCAATCAGCTCATGTCTCTGCATATGTCTCGACGCTTTTGTTTCATGTTTTCGGAAGGTTATTGACACCCAGACAACAGCTTGTTGGGTGAACAACCCCTCAACGATATCCACCTACTCCCGCCTTGTGCAAAGTCAGCTCGGCTCAAGTTAGCCTGCTTTTATCTTGTTTTATTCTTTTTGTCTACTGGCTCTTTCCTCCTCTGGAAGGTGGAATCTCTCTACTCCCGGATGAAGCTCGGTAGGATGAGAATTTTACATCTTTACCTAATTATCTGTTATTCAGCGAGCGGTTCGTTCCGACCTGGTTCAAAGGCGATTTCAAAGCAAGTTACCCATACCCTGCCTGCACTACTTCTATTTACCGTAGTAAGACAACACAACTACACACGAACAACAACCAATGGGTATCATAAAAGGCTCCTTCCATGACCGCAAGATATCGCCCCAAAGAGCAACCTTTTCATTTCCATATACCGAAGACGAACTACCTATAGCCACCATCACTAGTACTCATGCATGCCACTTCTCCTCGACAGATTCTGTGCCCAGTCATACCACCTATATCTCCAAGGTACCTCCCTCATAGCCTGACCTTGGACAAGACGAGGCGTGTCACACGAACCACCGTCAAAACCTATAATTCTCACAAGTTCTCAACCGCCGATGCGAACTACCTGCTTGGGCAGTACGTACATACCTACATGCGCACCTACTTTTTTAGCTCACTCAAGCGCGAATGAAGTATATATCTTGATTCGGAGGGTTTTGGTTAGGTAGCCACCGGCAAACATTATCTCCACATGGCAATCCTTTCCGATTTTCCATCTTTGGTTGACAGAGAATCTGGAACTAACCAAGATCCAAGAACCAGGGGAACAACCCCCCGCGCTTATTACTAGGAAGCCTGAAGCGAGTTGACGTACCTTGCACCGTGGCGAAAAAGAAGACAACGCAAGATATGTCTGGATGTGGGTATCCTACCGAGTCGCTCTATACGTAATAGGAAAGCAGGTAAGTGTGGCTCTTTTGTACCATGCTTTCTTTGCCTTATATCGCTGTGAGTCGACAGGTAGGTAGTAGATTGTTTGTCCCTTGCAGGATAAAAGGTCCAGACTACCTATGTACCTACATCCACGCAAGGCAGCCAAGGGAAACTCCGAAGAAACTGAAGCGTGGCCGTTTGGTCCTTTGGCTTTGGGACATCGTGTTCATGCTTTTTGCTTCCTGTCCATCAAAATCGGAACACAACACTTCTTCAAGAAACGTGGGCCGAGGGGTGCTAAGCTCCCTGTGAGGCACTGGCTAACCAAGGTACTCTACACATCAGTGTTACTGGAAGTTAAAGTGGTATTTGTCCATTCTGGAAAGCAACTTCCTCCCAAGTAGGGTATTCTTGAAGTGTCTTTTTTTGTGTGTACCTTACTCCCTGGCCTTGAGTTCCTGAATCCTTTGTTCTAGTCCATCGCGTTCATTTCCCATCCTACAGCTGAAAATCAACCTTGGGTTCCTTTCTCTTTTCTTCCCTCCTATATCCGAAACTCCCACTGGCATAGAAAGATCTACACTAGTAATCAGACAAAACACCCTCATTATCAATCGGGAAAGGGCACTACAGACAAACCTTTGGGGGCCAGCCCCACAACCATTGAAGTAAGCAACGTAAGCCTTTGCTGCATCCGATATCTTGTGGTGTTGTGTTGTATCGTGTCGTGTCGTCGTAATGTGTCGTAATGTGTATCAAAACTTCCGGGTTCCTAGCCGCACCCCTGCTTAAGCATTTGTTCAGAGCAAGTTACTTACTCGAGATAGGTTAGGTACCTGCCGATTCGACCTCCGACATCAATCACTCTTTTTTTGTCTTACCGGTTACATATCACATCACAGGATATGTCGTTCCAAGCACGAGACCAGACTGGTTCGGACATCCCGTACGGTGTAAGGCGATCCGCGTGTGAACCCCCCTCCCTCCCCCAAAAAGCGAGGGATCAGAGCAGCGTCGTAGTTGCGCTCGCTTCTATATGTATTCTAGAAGCCAGGCTACTACTGCTACTGCATACTAATACTACATCGCAGTACTACTACTGCAACATCAACCCACGGCCAAGGAAAGGAATGGTGAAAAGTTTGGTACGGTTAATCTAGTTTTAATCTATTCAGCTTCGGGTTTCTTGTTTTTTTTTCTAGAAGGCTTCCATGCATACGACGTTCAAGGATGTTGGTTGTTTGGAGGATTCCCATGTTAATGGTGATTGGACTCGAACGATTGTCTACACGAACGGTTGCTGCTCCTGCTACATATCACTTTACCAATCGAACTTTCTGCTCTCTGTGAGTGAGGTTCTTGTTCCCCCCGGTCAGTGTTGTATGTCTCTACACTAGTGTATGTACCTACCTAGCAACCAAACCCCTTAACCTAGGTCATTATCAACACATTCCACTACTACATACTACGCACCTGATGAATCTCGTAAAACCCCCAAATTCCCCACCAACGATGTATCCTTTAGAAGGGGGGATGGGGTGGTATGTATGCAGCGAACACCTTCTGTAGTATCAACACCGTTACTTTGCAGGTTTCCATCCATCCTTCCTTCCACGACCATTGCCTACCTATCTAGGTGCCATCACCAACCACAACGACATACACCGAACGTCCATGACAGGCCATTACAACATAAGGTTGACCAAGTCGAAACAAGCACTGTAGGTAGGAAGCGTAAGTACTTAACAAAATACCAAAGTAGTTTTGGAAGAGGCAGTGCTTGCAATGTAGATTTATTTACACAGATAAACAAACAAAGAGCAAGGTATTAGATCAACTGTACTGCTGCTGCCGCCGTCCTTGTGTTCATAGAAGGAGGTGAGTTGATATACCAAGTCTTTTGGATGAGGAATCACAAAGATAGGGGATAAGTCCGCAGTAAATGTCTTCACGTAAGCTCGGTAAGCACATCATTAGCCAGATTGATGTTATTTGGACCTGAATACCATAACAAGTGAATTCTTGACATAACTTTTGAATGCCGCAAGTACTTGCCAGCACAATGTGAACAGAAAGAATTGAAACACACCCTAGAAGACTAGGCTAGCTCCTACTCACCCATCTCCTTCACCACCCAACAAGGTAATCCATACTCTAGTTACCCATGACAGCCGCCTGCGCATCGGTGTAGATCGGGGTGATTCCGGTCCAGAGTTGGAACTGGAAAAATAGCGGGTTAGCATTCAATGTCATGTGAAGGCACAGAAGAAAAAAAGTTACATACCTGATACCAGCCCTGAGCGGCGAGAACTTCAAGTCCGGGAATCGTCTGCCAGTGCGCATCCTCCGCCAGCTGCATGAGGGGGGTGTGGCGCGGGGTGTAGGCCATCTCCAGCAGGACATGCTTTCCATCCGCGACCGACGGGTGACGAAGAGAAGCAACAATGACCTCACGCATGCTCTGGTCAATGGGCTTGTCGGCGGGGATGGTGCTGATCACGACCGAAGGCTGGGCAGTGGACTCGGCCGCGACCTCTTCCGGCGTGCTCAACGAGCGGATGTCGTATTCGGCAGGGAATGACTCCGCAAGAGCCTTGACGCGGTCGGCGTTTCTAGCAACGACGTAGATTGGGGCAAAGCCAAGGTCATGCAAAGCGTGGACAGCAGCTCGGGTGGTTCCGCCAGCTCCGACAACCATACCGGCGGTCGGAGACTCCTTGGAGCACTTGACGACGCCGGCGTTGCGGAGCGCATACACCATGCCCATCCAGTCAGTGTTGTCACCGCGAAGAGTTACCTTGTCACCGTTGCGAACAGGAATGATGGTATTGACCGCGCCAATGACCTTGGCAGCATCAGACACCTCATCCAGCAAAGGCATGATGTCAAGCTTGAGAGGAATGGTTACCGACGCTCCACCAAACCCAGGAGCCTGGATCAGGTCTTTGACGTCAGCAGCGTTATCAGTCTCGAAGAGGGAATACTGATGAGGCAGGCCGTTGTCGCGGAAGAGAGCATTGTGAAGGGCGGGTGATCGCGAAGCCGAGATGGGGTTTCCGAAAAGGTGGAAAGACCGAGGCTCGAGCTCGCCGATAAGAGCCAGCGCCTGACGGATCTCAGCCGCCGAGAGCTGACCTGGAGCAGCCTTGGACGGCAGGGCTGGGTGGGAAACTGGAGTCAGGAAGCCATTGAGTACGCGGCTCAGCTTGCCAGCTGCACCCATGTTCAAAGCAATGAGAGGCTTGTCATGAGCAGCAGCGAGGCTGGCCTTGAAACGTGCTAGGGCAAAGTTGTCAGCAAGTTCGCGGGCGACACCAACGAGCTTGACAACATCACCATGTTGCAGGGCTTTGTTGTAGTACTGGACCCAACCGCCGTTCTTCCAGGAGAGTGTTGCCTTGGGGTCATGGTGAGAGGCAATGATATGGGTATAACCCTTTGCATTCGTCACGGCTTCAATGACCTCGTCTGGCATGGTCATCTCCAGATCGAGATATTCCACACCAGCCTGCAGGCCAGTGCGGTAAAGCTTGAGGGCCAACTCATAATCGGCGTCGGGGAACTTGCCGCCTTGGCTGACAGTGCGGACAGTGTAGACGATAGGAATCCTCGCGGCCGACCGAAGAAGCGCAACCTGCTTGGCCACAAATTCCGGATCGTAATCCTCCAGCAAGTCTACACGCAGTTCTACGGCATCTGAGCCCACAACCACCTTAGGGATGATGTCCAATGCCTTAGATACGTTGGGGACTGTGAGGGAGACGAAGAAAGAATGAGGCTTCTTCTTCACTTCCTCGAGGTGGTTGCTGTGCCCACAGATGACGGAGAGGAACTGGCTGAAGTCGAAGGGTGGTTCGGTAAGGGCCTTTGACCCATCGGGATGAGGGCTGTAGTAGCGGAAGTTGCTGCACTCCTCAAAGAAGGGCTTGCGACGATAGTAGACCTCCCGAATGTTCTCGGAGTAGGCGGGGCGGGACTTGTCCCTCATGAGGTACTCGACAACTTGGTCGGTATCACGATGGACTAGAAGGACAATACCACCATTTTGGCTGTAGGAAAGCAACATCTTTCGGGCAGCCTCTGTCTCCACAATACCGCCACCGCAGGAGAAGATGTGTCCGGTAGGGTTGTTCTTGATCACATCCTCAAGGAGTTCGAGCTCAGCCTTTCTGAAGCCTTCCCAGCCCCGCTCGCTGCGAATGATCTCGGGAATCGTTTGGCCCTCTCTCCTCTCGAGCTCATGATCGAGATCGATGAGAGGTCGGTTGAGAACCTCGGACATCCACTTGCCAGCGGTGGACTTGCCAGCGCCACGCATACCGATGATGAAGATAGACTTGGGGTTACCCTTCCGAGGCTTCTCGTGGGATACGTGGCTGCTGTGTGGCTCCTCCTCGCCCTCGAGATGGACCTTGAAGTAGTTGGACATGGTATCCCACCATCCGGGCCATGTCTTGCCAGTACACTCACGCTCAAGGATGAGTACCGGGTGGGGCGAGATGGTGGAGAGGACGCTAAAGCTCATGGCCACACGGTGATCGTCGTAGCAGTAGATGCCCCCCGTTGGGTTCTTCAGCTCAGTGTAAGGGATGCCAATCACTTCAATACCGTCCTCGAGCTCATTGCAGTGCACGCCGAACTTGGCAAGCTGGTCCTTCATCGCCAAGATGCGGTTGCACTCTTTGACTCTCTGATTGGCAATGCCAGTAATCTGAGTGGTGCCAGAGGCAACAGCGGCGAGCACGGACGCAGTGAGGAAAGCATCAGTCATGGGCTCCATATCGACGTGCGGGATGGCCTTGAGAGTGCCAATTGGAGGGCCAGTAACGGTGGTAGAGACGTCAGTCTGCTCGACGGTGCAGCCCATGGGACGGAGAACCTCAATGGCGAAGCGAGCATCACCCTGGAGCGACTTGGAGCCAATGTTGGGGACGGTGCAGGTAGTGCCAGTGATGGCGGCAATGGCGAGAGGGTAGGTAGCAGAGCTGGCATCGCTCTCAACGACATAGGTTTCGGGGTTCTTGTAGGTGCCCTGGGGGATATAGTAGGTGTTGGGATCCTCAGCAGATCGCTGAACTTGTACACCAAACGAAGCCATCATTGCGATGGTCATGTCGATGTAGGGCTGGGAGATGGGCTTACCGCCAACCAGGCGAAGGGTGACGGGCTCGCGGGCGTAGGGGGCAGCCATCAAGAGCGAGGAGACGTACTGGGACGAGATGGTGGCAGCAAGCTCCATAACACCGCCGGCAAGGCCGCCAGCAGCATCAACTTGCACGGGCAAACTGTGTTCCTTCTCAAGGTACTTGACACCGACGCCGTTGGCACGCAGGGCATCAACGAGAGCACCGATGGGTCTCTGCTTCATGCGGGCATTGCCAGTCAAGACAGTGGAGTTGACATCGGAAGGGTTGCAAAGAGCCGCCACGGAGGTCAAGAACCGAGAAGCGGTTCCCGCATTACCCAGATACAGAGGGGTCGAGGTAGCCTGCAACCTGCCACCGTTGCCCTTGACGACGAGCACATCACCCTCCTCCCAAGAGAAGGAGGCACCCTGGAGCTGCGCGACGGCGTTGAGCATGACCTGGGTGTCGTCGGAATGGAGCAAGTTATGAATGCGGGTGGTACCCTCACCAAGAGCAGCCAGAATAAGGGCACGGTTGGAGATACTC